TGTAGCAAACATTTTTTGAAATAATGGTAGACAAACTTGGGCTTAATAAAAACAAAATTATATAGTTATTGAACAATTGTTTGAGTCTCATTTTCCATTAAAATGCATTCTCGAACAGTGATTTAGCTTCATTTCAACAACACATTTTTCAATAAAATAATATTATATGTAAATCCAATTTTTTTAAAAAAAATTTTAACCATACATTTTTCATCATAACACTATTGCGAAATGCATTTTTTGAAAAGGGAAAAAAAAAGGGGTTTGAACAACCTCTGAATAACAATTATGCTACATGTACATATTTTTTTATATCATTTTTATATTCCGCCACATGGTGACATATGATTGGATACTTTTTATTTTATAAAAAAAACACTTTCCCGCAACACTTTTTGATCTATCGCGCAATGTTAACAAGATGTAATCCATGAAATGTATACTAATATAATTCATTGGCTAACAATCATGTTACATGTGCCCTTTTTTTTTTTGTGCTATTGAACAGTTTTAAAAGAAAACCACAATTTCTCGCCCAACACTCTTTGAACGTGTTAAATCCATCCATGACTATCTAACTTTACATTTAGTGTCTCATGGCCTGATTTTGTTTTACCGTGACCATCTAATTTTATATTTAATGTCATCATAGCCATTCATTTTCATTTTATTTCATCATGGTCATCCAATTTCATATAACGTTTAATCATGTCCACCTAAATTCATATAACATTTCACCATAACCTAACCACCTAATTTCTATTCACAATTTTCACTAAATTTTAAAGGGGGTAAAATGATAACTTTCTATTATAAATATATAATAAATTTTAAAAAAATTAAAATAAGTTTTTTTAAATTTTAAAAACGTTTATTTTAAAATAAATTTTTACTTTATTTTAAAAATATGTATTTTTTAAAAAAGCTATTATTTTATTTTATTATTTTAAGGAATTTTTTTAAAGTTTATTTTATTTTATTTTTCTAAGTACATTTTTTAAATAAATTTTTATTTTATTTAATTTTTCTAAGTAACATTTTTTAAAATAATTTTTTATTTTATTTTTTTAAGTAACTTTGTTTTAAATAAGTTTTTATTTTATATTTTTTTAAAATCTGTTTTATATATATAATGTAAAGTTATCGTTTTAGTTCTTTTAAAATTAATGAAAATGGTAAAAAGAAGTTGAGTGAATGAGCGGCCATGGTGAATTAAAGCAAATTAGGTGATCTGATAACATTAAAAGGGTGTTTGGTGAATATTAAAATTAGATTTTTAGTGGATTGTGATAAAAGTTTTTGAAATGTGTGATTGAAAAAATGTAGGACCCATGAAAAATGTGGTTAATATTGATTATTTGACTTTTACTTAAATTAAAATTATATTTTAATTCTGTCCAAATAGACCCTACGTATGAAGTTAGATGATGATAGTGAAACAAAATCGAACTGAAAGGTTGGTGACACCAGATTTAACCCCTCTTTGAACTCTCACGCGCAGAAGTAACCGCGTGAACTATGAAGTGACGTTACACATTTCAAACTTTTGGATTATAATAATTTTCAAAAAAATAAAAAATTATATAGAACGCACCCGGGAGATTTCTGCTTAACGACTCCACTTCAGCCTTCGTTGAACAAAAAGACTTATCGTAAGAATCTCACAATCGAATTCAATTTGGGTAAACGTCTGTTTTTCCTTTTTCCTTTTTTTTTTATTGAACTGCGATAATTTTTGTTTTGTGAAGAGTGCGGTTTCTGTGAAGTATTTCAAAAGGCTTTCTTCTTCTTCTTCTTCTTCTTCTTTCCTCCTTCTCGTACATCGATTTGCCTGTTTCTGGCTTTTAGTGAATCACTTTAGTTTTAAAAATCAATCATACATATAAAATTATGAATTTCTTGATTTGGGTATGCGTGCAATTTATGTTTAATTATTTGTGTCTTGTTATACTCCCGTTGAAAAAATATGAAGAATTATAAAATCAGGATTGTCAAAATTCTTTCTTTATTATGTGTTTGCCTGTGGATTGGGAGATGATTGTCGGCAGTTATAATGATGAATACTATAGTATTCATGTTTTATGATGTGGCTTTTGTTTTTTGATTTATTTTTCTTGTTTTATGTGCCCGGTCGATCAGAATCTTTAATGTTGGATAAAGTTGTTTTTTTGTTCCTACTATGCAACTTTTTCGAAAAATAGCTCTCATACATTTGTGATATGTATATGTGACCATGAGAGAGTAAGCAGAATAGAAATCACTGTTTCATCTTCTCGGAGATGATCAGATGATGCATATTGGATAGGACTCATTAAGTTGTAGATGTGTTGTGTTGGACATTGTGCGACCTAATGGTACTGTCCACTTACTCCTCGCTCGAAAAAATTTCAAAGGGTATATTGAATATTTCATACACGGTAGGTTGCCCTAAAATTTATGTTGTATAAAAAATTTTGGAGTGCTGATTTTCAATGTGTGAGTGGCATTTTTCTCCGAAATGGACGTAGCTCTCACTTTGAGAGGGAACCTTTAAAAATATGCCGGTTTGCTTTGTTTGTTTTTTATTTTCAATCATTGCTATAGTAAGAAGCCATTAAGTCTTGATTTGGCATGCTTGTGTGCTTTTCATTCCTTCTGGACTCTGATTTGTTGTAAAAAGTTCTTGATGTGTGAATATATCTGTTTCTCAGGAATTGAACACAAATGTACCAATATGAGTGAAACCAACATTACATTCTTCTTTAAACTAATACTAAAGACCTAGATACATCATTTCTATTAGAACAATGATGAAGTTGGTTATTTTATCTCATTTATTAACTTCTACATATAAGCAAACATACGCATGATCAATGAAGACTAGAGATGATAGTCTTATTTTGGTGTATAGTCATATTGACTAGTAGTTTTTGTCCTTTGCTTACAGTTCGAGCAATTTTGATATACTTTAAAGAAAAATGGGAGATGGTAATAACAAGAATGATACTGAAGATAAAGGGCTGTTTTCTAATCTTGCTGCATATGCCGCTGGAGCTGGACACTACCCTCCACCCCACGGAACGTACCCCCCTCCAGCATACCCCCCACAAGGATATCTCCCACATGGTTACCCCTCACAAGGTTATCCGCCAGGACCGCCACACAGTTACTACCCACCAGCAGGCCACCCTCCTCCTGCAGGATATCCACCACCAGGTGGATACCCTCCATCAGGTTATCCTGGTCCATCCCATTCAGGTATAAACCTTTGTTATCTCTAACATTGTTGCCATTTATAGTTCTTTCCTGCTATGCTGATAAAAAAAATAACCTGCTGGATTTATCTCCATTTTCTTCTTCCTCGCTATCAACTTTTTGCATAAGAATCATCTCCTCTGGAGTCTAGCATTATGGATTCAGTTGACAATATATAATTCTGTTAATTTTCATAAAGTTAAATGATTTCAATGCTTGATTGTGGTAGTCTTTCTCAATTCAGATTATGAGATGACTGATCCAAGTTATATTTCTATCAATTTGATCTATCAATACATAAATAATTAAAATTTCCTCTTCCTGAAGATTTTCATATGCCTGAAGTACTAAAGGCCATCCATCATTTTCTTTCCCCTTAGGAATCTATTTTATCCCTTTCAAGATTCTCCATGCTTTTTGATTTATCATGTCTTTGATAAGCATCTGCTATTACGGGGAGGGGTAGTTTAGGATATTTGGAAAATAAGTATGTAGTTGCCAGGTATAAAAAAGGGGGCAAAGGGCATTATGTAAGGAGGGGAAATTAGGGTATCAACGGGGAGAGAGTGAGCCTCTCGAATGCTCAAAATCTATTGTAATTCCTTTCAATTTCTATCTGTTTTCATTCAATATATACACAAAAGTACATTACACATCAGGTACCATCATTCTTCTGCTGGTTTATTTGTTAATATTGAATAGTTCTTGGTGTACACAATTCTTGCAGGTCATGGATCTGGTATGGGGGCAATTCTGGCTGGTGGTGCTGCAGCCGCCGCCGCTGCTTATGGGGCGCACCATCTGGCGCACGGTGGATACCACCATCATGGTGGATTTTTTGGCCATCATGGAAAGTTCAAGCACGGGAAGTTTGGAAAGCGTTGGAAGCATCATGGCATGTTTGGGAAGCATGGGGGAAAGTTTATGAAGTTCAAGAAATGGAAATGACATTTTTCCTGAGTACTAGTAACTACTACTGTTATTAGGTTTATTTAGTATTGGGTAGAACTTTTATTTCTTTATCATCGAATTATCATGTGGGTTTTCTGATTGAAGTTGCGTCTATTGTTGCTGAACATCATCACTCGGCTACTTGGTCTGTCTAGTTATTGTATATTTGAGCAATGCAAGAAGAATGTAATTTTGCAAAGAATGGAAATTTTATTAAAATATGGAGAAATAATACAAAGAATGTGTTTATAATGTTTTTGACTTCTTACTAAATCATAATGAAAAATCAACTATATATGGGGAACAAATAAGAGATGTCCAAACTCTCGTAATAGAGTTTTAGTTGGAGTAGAATGCAAGAAACGAAATAGAGGAGAAAAATAGTACAAGAGGCGAATCATACAGGTGACGCATTGGCGCCGCTATTGCCAGGCAAAAATCGTCTTGGGGTCAACTTTCGGGTCCTTTACTCCAATATCTTGATTTTCTTCATAACAAGGTCTTCTTCAAGTCTAATTAGGGGTGTCCAAACGTTCCGAACCGAACCGAAACTAAATAATTTTTTTACTTTTTATATTGAATTAATTAAATTAATTTATTTTTTTCTAAATAAATTAGCAAATTAATTAAATAATTAAGATTATTTCATCATTTTAATTTTAAAGCCCATTAGCACATTTTAATTTGATCATGACTACATGACTATTCGAATTTGTTCNATGTAATGTTGCTGTAAATATTAAAAAATTTAATTATGGTAGGGAACCGAACCAAACCGAATCGAACGGAACCCAATCCAAACGATTCCATAATTATATTTTGACTCGACGGTTCCATTTATTAAATATCCGAAATTTTTGGGATTCGTTAAATAAATTTGAATAGGATTTCACAATAGCATTCCAAATAGAATTCTTCTTAATGTGTACTTTAATTAGAACCCTCAATTATCTTCAACAAAGAATTCAGATCACACCCAAAATCTAACAATCTCCACGTTAACACGAATTCTACTGCATTGAACAAAACTTTAAAAAAATTCTCAACCTGAACACAAATTTCGTTGTAAGGAATAAACTTGAACTTTTCAATGAAAAACACAAACAAACTTCTCCATCAAGAAATTCTAACCGGAAATATTCTCCACCTTTGCTATCTCAACTAGGAGTAAAAGTAATCTAATGACTATCAAACAAGGCTAAAACAAACCCTATAACAGAATCACAACTGAATGCATCAAAAGAAGGATCTTAACTATAATCAATACACTTAATCGCATTCAAACCTTCGACAAAATCTGCAGAAATGTACATGTGGAATCTTATGGCCAAAAATAGGTCTATTTCTAGCAATTGAATACGATGAAACCGTCAATAATGGTGGTAAGACGAATTTATCCATATTTTCAAAATTCAACTGATATGTATTATTAAAAAAAGACCTCAAATTAGACTCCAATGGTATAGAAGTCAATTCTAAGTCTACCCAAGTTCTTAAAATGTGTTGATTACTCGAAAATTATGTATCACCCTGCAAGGTATGTAAATGAGATTTTCTATGTCCCATCAGCAGAATGCAGGCTCCTTTGATAACTTTCAGAACTCTACATTCAGCAATATACATTTACCATTTTGAATCAAGAGTACTTAAGGAGATAAGAATTTTCTTCAGATCTGGAACATGTCTCACTGCATCAAGTGTTCGAACCGTCCCATTAAACATTATTCTGACTTGACCAATATCAGCTATCCGACAATGTTTGTTATTACCGGTCATAATAACACCTTTTGAAAGTTCTTCATACGTTGAAAATAAATCCCGATTGGGTGACATGTGAAAAGTGCAAACTGTATCAAAATTTCAAACCTCATTAGGTTTGGAGTTGTAGTCAGACACAAGTAGAAGCTTTCCATCACTGTTAGGATTTTCCGCAATATTTGCTTTTACTGAAATTCCTTATTTTGATTTGTAATTGACTTTGATTTATTTTGCAACAAATAACAATCTTTACCAAGTGCCCTTTTTTCTTGAAATAATTACAAAATTTGAAGTTAGATTTCAACTTGCCCATCGAACAACCACCACGAATAATGAGACCATCTTCATGATACCCAGATGCTTCATCTCCTTCTTTGAATATAGAGTATAGTAGATTTCTTCGATGATGAGAGTATCACGACTATATAGTATCGTGTATTTAAAAGATATGTATGAGGCGGGCAATGAACACAATAAAATCAATCACAAGATACTCCAAGTTCTCCAAATCAGCGACGATTTATTAAAAAGCAGCTAGGTGATCTCAAGATATGTTCATTCTATCATATGATGAGAATATACACGTCACTTTAGATGTAATTTGTTAGTAAAACTCTTTGTTATGCATAATTGCTCCAATTTTAACCATAATGCAGTTGTTGACTTCTCTTTTAAAACATCCCGAAAAATATTATTTGAAAGATGAAGATATATTTGAAATAAGGTACTTCAATCCCTTAATTGTTTCTCATCCATAGTCCAAGTTGTGTGTATCTTATCAAATCCCAACAACACGTCGTCCAAATTCATTAGAGTGAGTACTGCTTGCATCTTTACTTGTTATAAAGAGAATCTTGTATTGTGATCTAATAGCAGAATATCATACTTCATTGTTGCTATTACGAAAAAAACCTCGATCTTCCCAAGAATTTCAACACCAAATGCTATTATACCAGTTTGTTGCGAAAAGCATATATAATACCGGATTAATCCAATTCCACTTTATTGGAGAAAATAAGAAATTAAGCTACAATATGAAGTAATTGATTACAAGAAGAATATAATTTTGTAGAGAATGGAGATTTTATTAGAATATAGTAGGGCTGTCCGTGGGTCGGTTCGATTCGGTTCGGTTCTGAAGAGACCCGGACCGACCCAAAACTTTCGGGTATTTAATAAATGGACCCATCGGGTCCAAATATAATTATGGAACCGTTCGGGTTCGGTTCGGTTCGGG